TGAATGATTCATTTGATTCTTTAATATCTTTTTTTCTCTTCTTTTCATATTTCTATAATGCTATGATAGATTAAATTTAAAGTTCATTCCTCTCATTCAACCAACTTCGTTTGACAGAAAAATTGTTATATCATTAAGCTATGTTAACAATAATAACAGCAAAAACATGTCGTGTCACTCTATACCTTAACTGAATTTCGTTCATTAATCATCAAATGAAGTTCACTGAGGAAACTGAATCGCTATCTTATTCTTCATTCCCTCTTTTTTTTTTTTTTATATATAAAAATGGGATTTTGAGTAAGCAACCATCTGTCGTAATCATTTCCTCCTTTCTTTCTTTCTTAACTAATCCTTTACCTAACTTTTTACATTCTCTCTTTCTGTCTTTTTTTCATTTTTTTTTTTTTAAAATTATAGACAAATAATAAAGCAAACTGAATAATATACAATACGTTATCACTGTCATTATCATGTCAGGACATTATGCTAGCAACTGTCATGATAAGATATTGTCATTGTTGGCTGTTGTGATAATCGAATAATGTTATCATAGTTACTTATCATTGTAATAGAAAGTTATTATATTTGCTGCTCCAGCTGTACTATTCTCAATGATTTTTATTAATTTAATCACTTTCTTACTTAACGGATTTATAATTTTATTTCATAGTTTAATAAAAAAAAAAAAAAAAAAACGAAAAGTTAGTGTAAACAGAAGCTATGATAGCTCTTGTTTATAATGAAGTTCTTTTTTTTTCATGATTTTGATGAGTCAAGAGATAATACACTTTTTTCTACGTACTATTTTTTCTTTTTTTTGAAATGTTACGTCAACATTTTGTTGTTAAAAGCGGAAATGAGTAGTAGTAGCTTCATGTGACGCACAAGCTGAAATCTTTTGGGAGAATCTGATCCTTAAGAAGATATCAAAGGAGAAGTTCACCTTATCACAAAAATTCTCTTTCACTTCTGTTTTCTTTCTTTCTTTCTTTTTTTTTTTTTTTGATCAATTAGATGAATATTTTCACTTCATTACATTTTTTGCACAATATTTAAGCTAAAGTAAACTTTTTAAAATGTATTGCTACTACTTTTTTTTGCCGGAAATAAAGTTTGATATAGATAAGAAAATTTTGAGATATGAAATGACTATTTTTGAAAAAGGGAAAGGATTTGTTGATTTTTTAGAAATCAGTTCTACTGATAAATAATAGTTTTATGAAAAAATGTGGAGAAAGATAATTTCTTACTGACAAATTCTATTTAATAAATAATGATAGTTTTGGAAAAAGATAATCGAAATGATAAAGATGTGAAAAAAAAGTAACTTTCCATATCAAAAATATCATTAGCGATAAAACGCGAAACATTTCAATTCACTATCATCCAAGGAAACACAGAAGTTATTCTTTTCGTAACAATTTTCAAGGAAAAAACGAAATTGAAGTATCTTCAATTATTTGAACATACACTCATTGCTAGGCAAAATTGAGCAATTTTAGAATGAGAACAAATTTCGATAGCGATAATTTTTTTATTCTTTTTTTGGAATTAAGATAATTGTAAGAAAAATTAATGTACGTCTTCATTGTTAATATTTATTGGTATGCAAGTTTAAATGTTAATGGAATTTTTTAAATAAATCAGTTTGTTTTTAGTTTATATTTAAGAAAATACAACGCTTTAAGAGACTTTTTTTCCTTCATTCTTTTCCTTTCAATTTTAATTCCAACTCTTTATTGCGTATTTCTCTTATTTAAAATAAACAAGAAAAGTGATGTAATGTTTTAATTTGCAGCAAATGTTATTAGCTTTATATTTGTTTAATTCTAAAAATAAAAAATTGGATTTTCTTATTGAACTGTATATATTGCTTCTAGCATAACATCATTACTAATTTAAACTTACAGGTGATAAATTCTATGCTCACTTTTTCCTTTTTTTTTTTTTTTTTTGCTATTTTTGGCAATATTTATTTAATATATACAATTTAGGAAAATGAATATTTAATAACATAATTTGCTTCCATTAATTTAGAAAAAAACTGGTTTTTTTTTCTTGCATTGATCAAAATTAATTTTTATTGAGGTATTTCTTAAATTCAAAATTTACTTTATTACTCTTATCATTGATGCGTTATACTTAAATAGAGTAGAAAAAGAAAAGAATTTTAATTGAAAGTTTTGTACATTTTTTAAATTATGATTCCGGTCATTATAAAATTTTTTTTTAGTTGTAAATGTGATACTTTCGTTTTGCTTTATCTATCCTATTACCGCCTTCACTACATCCTTACTATTACCACTGTTATTATTGTTGTTATCATGGGAATATACGCCTATTAATTTCTTAATTCCTTTGAGGTTTCATTTCAATCTTTTCAAAAAAATAAAATAAAATTCAATGTGTAATGAATATTCTATTTTTTTCCATGTACCAAAGCAGGAAATGGAATTTAAAAATTAAATTAACCGATATATATACTCCTAACAAGATTACTTAGGAATTAAACCTAATTTAAGCCTTTATTTTTTTTTTCGGCATTCAGAAAATTTTCATTACTTTATTCATTTTCGTTCTTAAAATTTTTTGTTTGCCTTCTTTCTTTCATAAATGAATGAAAGAATGGATGAATAAAATTGAAACTTTCGTTTAATTTTCTTTTGTTGATATTTTAAAATGATGTTTTTTTTTCTTGCAATATTAATAATATATCGAGTTGATAACATTTTTTGAAGAAAATGATATCTTATTGGAAATAATTTTTGGTCGATGTTCTCAATATTTTATTCGCGTAAAAAGGTAATGAAAGAAAAAAGTTTGGGTTGAGAGTTGCAAATATTTTATTGTGTGAAATTGATAAATTTGTTTTCCGTTTGGAATTTAGTACGAATAATTCAGTACTCAGTTGATTTTTTTATCGTAGCAATTTATCAGCATTTGTAAAAGTGTCATTTTTTGTTCTAAAATTTGTGTGTGATTAAAAACTATGTATTTTCAAATTAATATTTAAATATGTTAAGAAGTTTTTAAGCAGTAGAGCGGCTCTTATGTCTTGACGTTACTGAATCAGAGAAAAATATATCAATCATATTTATTCAGTTATTTTAAGTTTTTTTCTTTTTGTTAAATATCATTTATCTTTTGATTTAGCTAAAACTTGAATTATAGGTATATTCAAAGATTTAGAAATTTTTCAAAGGTTTGGCAATTTTATATATTAGGTAATGATAATATAAAGCTTAAAAATAGTTTCATAGTACTGAAAAAATTCTACATTTGATTTTTTTTTTTTTTGTTAATATAAATTTGTCAGCATTGCGATAAAGTAAATTAATGATAAATTGCTTTAATAAATTGATAAACTTAATGGGATTTAGTGATTTAGATGAGCCAAGCCAGACTTAATTGTATCGGTCAATGAGGGCGAAGGTTTAATTACATAGATAAAGAGGATTGATTTCTATTTTGAAGATATCTGTAAATAGGATTAATGAAGCTAACTTTAGCACACTTTTAAATTTGTTTTACTCTTCTTTTTTTCTTATTTACAGGATTTTTTATCGTCATTATTCTATTTCGTTCAATTAAAATTATTACTGAAATGTTATGAAGTAATTAATGGTTTATATTTTTAAACTCTTTTAAATCTAAAGTAATATCTTGTATTATCAACAGATTAAAATAAATTGATAAAAAAAATAGCTTTCAATTTGTTGAACTGGTATTGATAATATTTATAATCATTAGATACAGGGAATCAATTTTATGAACCTATTTCTCTCTAAAGCATATAATTTATAATCTTATCACTTCCTTTTTTTATTCCTGCATGAAATTTACGATCTCAGCATTTCAGGAATAATGAATAATTTTGAAATCATAAATTTGAATAAGTTTTTCTAACATTATTTGTTTTTATTGTCGTTGAAATTAGTATTTTTCATATTAATGAAAAAATTTTTTATTATTTTTGCATGTCAACTTTTGCATTCAGTTATCAGTTAATATATTTTGAAAGGATTTTTTCTTTAATTCTTTAAAATTTAATTTGAAAATGTTTGCAGAATAATATGAGCGTAATAATTTTATATAGGCATTTCCTTTGTAATTATCTTTTAATTATCAAAATAGACAACTGTTATACACGTGTACTATCGTAATCACAGTGAAAAATGATAAAAGATTCGTTCTGAAAAATTAAATAAAAAAAAGAAAAGTATTCGAGTTTTTATCAATTTTTAAATAAAAAAAAATATATTGTATAGTATATTTAAAATAATAATGCACTGGTTCATCTGTTCATTTATCGTTGTTGTTATTTTTTTTATCAATGCAATGCTTTTTATTTTCAGAATTTGATTTTTTAATGAAATAATCCATGAATAAATTTTTTATGAAAAAGATGACCACTATGTGAAATGAGGATTATTTATAACTAGATAACCTATTTCCAAAATAACATATAAATATTTTATGTTTTTATACATTCATTTTTTTCATTTCAACTGATTGATATTTTTCAAAAGGATGAAGTTTTTTTCTTTTCTTTTTTTTGTTAATATTAGAAATTATTAATTATGAGATGTTTGTGTTTATTTCAAATTTTTTCCTTTTATTTTTTTTATGCTGTGGAAGCTTTAAAAATTTTTTGATTTTTTTAACTCGTCAATTTTTAATGTTATGCTTTGCGAAAATCGATTTTTTCATATCCAAATCTCAAATTATGCCAGTGTAAAAAATTAAAAGAAATGAAAGGCAAAGAAGGGAGGAAGTGGTAGAAAAATGTGATATTAATATTCTTATCATCATACCTTGATAAAGTAAAAATTTACTACAAGTTTTGAAATTTGGAATGCATATTATTATTCCGACTCCATCTGTTTCATTGGTAATTACAATTTGATATTTTCTTCATTTTTATAATTATTTCATATGTTCCCTTCTTTTATTTCAACAATTTAATATTATTTAATATTTTTTTATAATTTTAGATAATGCGTAATTCGGATTGGAATAGTCGTAATTCACAAACACGTCGTCATCATCATCATCATCATCATCACAATCAAACAACATCTTTATCGCCATCATCAAATGGTCATGCGACTTCACTATTATCAACTAAACATCAGTGCAGCAAACCGGGCTGGGCATATGATGTTGAACCATGTGGCACGAGGTGTTCAAGAAGTGATGAAGATGCTGGTATCACTAATTTGCATATGAAGGGCAAAACATCACTTGCAGCAACCAAAATACCAATTAGTATTCGACGGAATGACTTAGATTATACAGCTGGAAGTTCAAGTATTACATCCAGTACAACAATTAGTGAAAATTTACATCAAAAACTAATTGGTGTACCGTTCATCACTACTACAAGTTTGTTTTTGCAAAGTTTTTAAATTACATTTTTTTTGTTATTTTTTTTTTTTTTTTTTTAATTTCAGTAACACATGATGACTATAATATTGGAATGACTACAATTGGTTGATGTCTTTGCATTGCAAAGATAATAAACTTCATTGAAGAGCTAACTTTTCAAGCAGACTAAAAAATATTTTGATTTAATTTTGTTGCTAAATGGTTTTAACTTCATAATAGATTATACAGAAGAGTTGTTTGTTGATATTATTTCTGTAGAAGATCTGTGTACTTTTTTGTATATACAATTAGTTAATAATCTTAATAAAATAACTCTTGAGGTTAATTTCAAATTTCATCATAGGTGATTTAACATCAGATGGATCCAGTGTCGCAGATTTGAAGCAATCTATTAACGCTTCTACAAATGTTCAGTATTTATGCGCAAATGAGACAGAAAAAACTTCCGAGGTTATAGATTATGCTTTCCTTCATACGTTATCTTATTGTTAAAAATTTTCAAATTTATTACATCTATAATTTTAGTGAAATTTTATTATCATTAATACAATTTAAATATTTAATATTAATTGATATGAATGACTGATTATTTTAGTATTCATTCTTTCACCTTGTACCGACCAAATATTATCGCTATTCATTAGTAATGTTTAAAAAAGCAGTGTCAGATAGCATCAGATATTATGAATAAATATTAAGCTTTCATCTGAAATCTGACATCCTGAAATCATAAAATTTTGATAAATTAGAATACACGGTTAAAAAATCCTCTTCTATGCGTAATTCAATTTGTTCCACAAACACTTAATATTTATTTCACTAATTAATATTTTTCCTTTTTCAGTTATACATGTTCTGTTATAGGATTCTATAAATTCTGTAAGGCGGACAGCATCATTCACCTTTAGTCCCAAAGGATGTTTAGATAAAGTAAATCAACGATTACAAGTGCATGATATCGAACCGAAGAGAAGATTGTAAGTTATTTATTATTGATTTTTTTTTTTTTTTCTAACGACAATAGTTCAATTTTGGTTATTCACGTAGAAGTTTGTAATCTTTTTGCCACTTTCAATCTTAAATGATAAAATCAAAATTAAAGAAATTTCATTGATTGATTATGAAGAATGAAAAGCAATGTAAATGCATGGTTTTTATACTTTTTATATTTAAAATTTTTAACGAGGATGATTGCAGTAGTAGATTTGCAAAAACGTTGGATTTCATTAAGAGTAAAATGGACTCATGTAGTACATCAACACTGTATCCATCCAAGGAAGAAATCATGCAATGGCAGGAGTCATTCGAACGTTTACTAAATCATAAATGTATGTTGATTTTAGTTTTTGAATTGAGACATCATATATGTTTTGCATTTTTTTTTTCTGAACTAAGTTAGTTTGTCTTGCGGGAATAATTCAAATTAAACTCATTAGCTATGAGCTATGAATAAATTAATGATATTTGGAACAAAATATTCTCGAATAAATGATGTATTTATATAGACATAAATTGGGTCATTTTAAGATGGTTGTCTGTTGTTTCGGACATTTTTAAAAGGAGAATTCAGCGATGAAAATGTTGATTTTTGGATTGAATGTGAAGAATTTCGAAAGATGAAAGAAGGAAAGAAGTCAACAATTCAAAAAGCGCATTCTATATACAATAAATATATTGCTGAACAATCACCAAAAGAGGTTTACATTATCAAATAAATATTAAAATTTTCAATAAAATTACATTTTTATAGTTCATAAAATGAAATATGGTTAAAGAAGCTTAACAAAGATGAATGTCATTTCTAAATTTGTTTGATTAAAATTTGTAATAGTCAAATTACTTGTATCACCTAGATTTGATTCCTTTTTTTTTTTTTTAATTTGACACCTCATTGCACACTTATGGTTATATGATAAGAAAATTTGTTTTTAGGTTAATTTAGACAGTGATACACGTGCAGCAACAAAAGCAGCTCTGGAAAATGGTGCTAAACCAAATATGTTTTCGTTAGCGCAAACCAGAATTGAGCAGTTAATGGCAAAAGATAGTTATAGGCGATTTTTGAAATCAAAATTATTCCTGGATCTATTGACAAATGATTCAAGTACTTCAAATACCAATAAAACGTTGCAGAAAGAAAATGAACATGAACGTCAATCAAGGTAGACTGGTTCAATTTATGCTCCTGTTATGAAAATTTTTTTTTTCATTTTTTTTTTAGTAAAATATTGATAAATTTCTGTTATAGATGATTTTTAACTTTCTTATTAAAAAAATAACAGAAAATGTAAGATTTTTAGTATCTGTAGATTGATTGCTAGTGAAATATTATCTTTAATCTACATCATTTCAATTGTGACTATTATTTAGGTTACCAGAAACCTCGAAAACGACCAATTCTGCCTATACTGCAGGAAATTCGAGGAACTCTTAAAATCAAGAAGAGTAATAATATGTTTATTTAGCAATTAATAATTCCATTTCATTAAAATTGTTATTAATCTACTGAACTGATCGTTTTTTGTCGTATACATTATATTTTAGCTTTTTTTTTTTTTTTTTTGATAGTTTGTTTATGATATGTTTGTTGATATAAACAACTTTTTCTACTAGCTTTATTACGATAATTGATGACAGTGTTTAGTCGTTAAATTTAATTTGTTTCAATTCATTATGCGATTTATATATGTTATTATTTAACAAATTAAGGATTTTAAAATCATGATGCTTTTAAATTCAGATGATCAAAAGAAGAAATGATAATTGCTTAAATTCATTTAAGAAACGACGAATTTCACCAAACTATCAGACAGTAACTTATTGCTGTTAATAAAAGTTAATTAAAGCATCAGTAAACATATCATACACAAATATAAAAATTAAAAAAAGATTTCAATTTGTAGGAGTCGTTTTTTTTCTTCATTCTTTGAAATCATAAATAATGAATGTATTTTTAATAAAAAAGAAAAAAGACGACAAGAAATTTTTATAATAATTTAATATTCACTATGCGATCTACATACATATTATCATTTTCTTTTTAGAAATTTATTTTGTAAATGAGCGAGAATATTCTACCCATTTATGTTTCAAATTATTATTATTATTATTAGTATTGATTTACTTACTACATTGTTACTTGTATTTTGTACATATTCCAATGAATTATGTTTTCTTTTTTTCCTTCCCATCTGTTCTAATGTGTTTTTTTTCTTAGATATTGGAAGACATGCAGTTTTTTTCTCTTTTAAAAGTTACAGAAATTTTCATTTCCAATTTTTAATTTTAATTATTACTATTTAAAAAAAAAAAGAATGATTAGAAATGAAATAGAAAGAAAAGAACAATTGTATGATGATGTCGACGTTTTATAATCAAAGAGCAAATATAGTTGAACATTCTGGCAACACTTTTTTTATATGTGGGAATCGGATTAAGATTTTATTTTCAGATTACAATTGATTAATTAAGCTTTATCATTTTAAAAAAATTCCAATTTATATGTTATTGATAAATGTATATATTTTCATATATGAATTAGTTATCCTAAATCATTCCGGCAGTCACTCCGGCAACAGCTTTTTTTATTGTTAAGTATTAACTTTTATAATTTACAATATTTTTTTCTTTTTCCTAATCGTATTTATTATTACATGTGAAAATGTTCCTGATAATGTCATTTTTTTTTCCGTTCAAGAAAAAAAAGCACGAAACAATGAATGAATGAATGAATTGTATCAATTTATTTATGATATGCTGAAGTTTTCAATAAAATGTTTGGCTATATTTTTTATGTTTATTGTTTCAGATAATAAATGAATAGTGACTTTCCCTTTTTTTTTTTCTATTTGTTCTTATTACCGAATATTTTGACACTTTTTTTTTTCCTGCTAAATTTTACAGCATAGAATAATTATTCGTGATTTTTAAATCAATTAAAGCAATGAAAGTAATGAGAAAGCCAAATTCACAACATTTGTTGTAAATATGAGGACTAATTAAATTGATTTGAATAATTTTTAATATGGAATAATTGGAAATAAAGAGATGGAAATGTATAATAGCTGCAAGTGTATGGTCATTGCATGAAGTGTGATAATCTAACCAATATCGATCGGTAGGTACGGATGAAGTTTCATAAAAAGAAAATCCAGTGAAGTTGTCTAGCTCATATTTCATTCGAGGACACAAAGCCTGGTGGATACTTTACGGTTGCCCGGGGTTTTCAGATTAAGTGACGCGGACTCGTACGTTTTTCCGTCATGCGTGTGATGTGTACATGTAGACAAGTTAAAATCATTATGCAAATTTGTTGTAATCGTCAAATAAATAGTTCTAGTCGTCAAACGAGTCATTATAAATTGACTAATGTGTTTGCAGTTATTCGTTTGATGTTTATAGCAGTTGATGATTATAACTACGATTTGCACCAAACATTATTGCTAGCGTTGTAATAATTAGATCAGTAGCTATTAGAGCTTAGGGAAACTACCAAAGTTAGCGTTTTACATACTAAAAGTTTACAAAATGATAAGACTATGTTTGTATTTAATTTGCGCAAAATATCAAAAAAAGTTTTGCTTAACAAGAAGGATAATGCACGAATGTGTACTAGATAATACTTTAGGACAAAATGCTATGATAAGATTTCGCATAATTAGTTGAAACAGTATGTATTAAGTAATGAATAATAATGTGTCATTATGATATTATGTCATGTTGCACTGTCGGTAGGCAGCACTAAAGTATTGTAAAATAATGATATTTCATGTTAGATTTATCAAACAATATCAGTGTGAAGTCATTTTCTATGATAGCGAATATATTAGTGAATAAATGGCGAATCATGATTCATAGTGAAGTGTTATAGAGCAGTAATGTGACAAGAGGTACTGTTAGTTGCTTCTTGCATGAGGTGAATTAAATTGGAAAGGTGATAAATTTCAGGAAGACAACATTTTCTCTTACTCTTTCGCCTTCTGCTTATGACTGCAATGATGCAAATCGACATAAATGGTTCAGGTTTGTCGGAAAAATCATTGAATGGTTCGAAACTGAAAGATGCTCATAGTTATGTTGGTTTTGCTAATTTTCCTAACCAAGTATTTCGACGTGCTATCAAAAATGGTTTTGAGTTCACGCTGATGGTTGTTGGTACGTTCATTTTTATTGATTATATCAGAATTATATTGGATATAAAAAGGAAAGCTGCAAATATTTTCGGGTGACTAATCAAGATTAATCATTAGTAATAACTGTGTTACATTTAAAAAGTCTGCAAGCTAATAGAAAATAATAAATTTTCTATTAGATTATTTCCTATTGTACATAATATGGCATGAAATCGAGCATGTTTCCCCGTTTCATTGTGGAGTTTTTCCAAATGTACGTCACATGCCGTATATGATCACGTTATCTCGTTTCAACAATGAACTGCCAAAATTTGTATCTCTGATTTTATAAAGATTTTACTCACTGTATTCTCTTTTAGTTTTCCTATGTATGTAAATTTCGCTTGAATAATTACGCTTACATTTATGTGAGAAAGAAAGAGAGAGAATAATAATGACATGAATCGATAATTTTGCTAGTTATATTTAAATGTAACTTATATATATGTATATCCTTTATTTTCATTTATCAATTTTACTACAGCTTTAACTTTGAACCGAATTCCTCGTTCATTATTTATTACATCACGGATCACTCCATCTCGCTTTCAATATGCTCTTCTTGTTCTAAAAAGGATTTGTAAAAGCATCATTTTGTATTTTGTATGGCAGGTTGTTCCGGTCTTGGTAAATCCACATTTATCAATTCATTGTTTTGTACGGAAATTAACGACCCAGATACGGAAAAACGGCGCATTTCACGAACAGTACAAATTGAAGAGAAAATCGTACGTTTGGTGGAGAACGGTGTAACTTTAAACCTTACATTGGTTGATTGCCCAGGCTTTGGTGATGCGGTAGATAATAGCAAATGGTCAGTAGTTTACTTTCTTCTCATAGTTTAAATTTCATACTGTGTTCGTATTAAGATTCTCATGACTTCATTGTTTTCAATCAGATGGGGGCCCACAATACTACCGGTTTCAGACTTTCCATTTTAAAAATGTAATAGAGCTTGCAGTTGGGAACCGATCGTAAATTACATCGAGAAAAAATATTTGGATTATTTTTCGGAAGAAACTAAAATTGAACGTGCAGCAATAATTCCCGATAAACGTGTGCATCTTTGCCTATACTTCATCAGCCCTACTGGGCATGGGTAAATTTTTTTATTTGTAAATTTTGAAACTGGTCAAGTTTGACGAATTTATCTGACAGTGAATGTGGAATTATGTTTATGACGTCAATATTGTTTATCCGATGCAGTACTGAAAAATTAGTGAATAAAAAGTCAATTGATGCTGAACAAGCAATTAGTTAGAGAATTTCAGATTAAAACAGCTTGACATTGAAATGATGAAGAAGCTCCATGATCGTGTCAATGTGATTCCAGTTATTGCGAAAGCTGATACGTTGACAGTGAATGAGCTATCATATTTCAAAAACCAAGTAATTTGTTAAAAAAAAATATTAAAACTATTATGTTTAAGAAATTAGGGTTTGTTTTTCGTTCTTTGTCTTATTTCATTCAATTACCTGAGTATAAGGCTATGTAACAGTTTGATATAATCTTTGTACTTGCTATGATGAAAAAGGAATAGTATATAGTGATGCGTCAAATTTTAAGTTTTGCAAGGAAGTAAACTATATCTATGAATTCAAAGACGATTAAGACATTTTTAAATTTCGAGGGGTCGTTTATTTCTTTATAATATAAATTGAATCGTAAAATTAATTGTAGTTACTAGTCAGCAGATATGCAGTCTTTATTAGATTCGTAATTATAATGCTTATTCAAGGGTAGAAAGAACTTTTTCTTGGACTAAAATGATATAATCGGCTGCACTGATTTCTTATTTAATCATAATTGCTTATTATTTTTCTAAATAATTGACTGTTTAGTTTTTTTTTCCTTTTATAGATAACCAAAGAGATTGAAGAAAATGGTATCAAACTCTATAAATTTCCGGATACCGAAGATGAGGATGAGAAAAGACAGTTTGGCCCTCTTCGTGAACGGTTTCCATTTGCTATTGTTGGCAGTAATCAGGTAGTTCTTATGATATGTCATAAAAATATTTTGCGATTTTTTTTTTTTTTTTTTTTAGCATGAAAGACTTTTTAATATCAAGTAATTTAGGTTCGTGAAACCAATGGTCGTCGATGTCGCGTAAGGGATTACAGCTGGGGCACGGTTGAGGTTGAAAATTTGCAGCATAACGACTTCATCGCCTTACGTGATACTGTTATAAGGTACTAGTAAAGCTAAGAAATTTCTGGAACTAACGATTTGCACTGACTTTTTTTATTGCTCTGCAAATAAGAGTCAAAAAATTCAGGATGAATTTGATAGATCTGATCGCAGTAACCCGTAGTGTGCATTATGAGAATTTTCGCTACCGGCAGTTAAACAAAGGACCGAAGAATGCAATAGACAGGTAATCCATGACTATTCTGTTGAAATTTTTTTAACTGTATGGAACATTATTATCATTTGCTACCAATAATGCACCATAATTCAAGTACTTTTAAAACGGAGTATTGTACTCTTTCCATGTACTTGTACGCTTATTATTTTTTATTTGACAGGAAGATGAACATTTAGTGGAGTTAATAAGAAAAAAAAAATAGATATGAAATAATTCAAGCAGTGACTGGTTTATTCATGATTTTGTTTTTGTAATTTTGAAATAGTAGTAAGAAATTGCTGCATTCTGAAGCCTGTAACTCGTTTTTCCTTTTTTTTAACCATTTTATTTTTGGCTTGATAGATCAACCTTGAATTCAATCAGTCGTGTTTCAGAGATCCTTTTACACAGTTAGAACATGAGAAACAGGTCAAAGAAAAAGAACTTGAGGAACGTAAACGCAATATGGAAAAAGTAAGCTTTTAAAAAGTTTATTTCGATGAATATTTTGTTGCTAATCTTTTTTAGGGTATTTCTATATATGAATTATTTCGCTTTAGGTTTTCGAAGACAAAGTAATGGAACGTGAAGAAAAATTAGTTGCGCGGCAATCGGAGGTCAGTTTCATGAATGATAAAAGACTATCTCAACTTTTTGTAAAAAGCTCATAACAGTCACGTCAAATGTAAGCACTAAAGCTAGCCAGTTTTGTCAAAAGCATTTCCCTAGTAGCATATGACTGTGCAGTAGATGCATCATTCATTTGGGATTTGTCCCTTTATCAGATCTGAAGTTTTGATATACTTGTTAACTAGTTTGTCAGCAGTAAATCGGACGTTCTTGCAAGCCATCTGGGAAAAAGCCTTTCGAACTCTTCCAGGCAGCGCTTGCTTTGGTTGCTTGAAACTTTTGAGTTAATATAAAATCTCACTGTGCTTTTAGAATGAAATTTTGAACCAGATGTTTTCTTGCAAACATTTGATCTAATTTAAGATATGCCAGTCCTTTTGTTATAATCTGAAAGTTAATCACAGCTTGACGAAAAAGAGAAAGAAAATCGTCGGATATTGCAAGAACGCCATCTTACTTTGGAACAGCTCATGGGCGAAGTAGTTGAATTACGTCGAAGCACCGGGACTGTTTCACGACAAGACTCAAGGTTAGTAGTTTTACTTTTAAAAGCAGACAATGCCGCCAGCTGTGCTGCAGTGGTTAATTCCCTTCTCTGTAATGCTTAGTTTATTAAGAATTGTAGTAATTCATTTGAAATTTATAATGACTCCTGAATAATTACTTTTGATTTCCAGAAGTTCGCCGTCCGAAAAGTCGTCTCGTATGAAAAAAGGACTCGGTGGGATTTTCAAAAACTAAGTGGCTTCTGTCATTTCCATGCAATGTCGACGATTTTTGTTTCAGCAAATTTTCAATATGTTGCTTATTGTTGAAATTTCCCCGACCAAAAATTGTAATTGCTAAAATTAATTTTCTTCAAACGAAGTCTACAGAACATGTGCAATACTGATCTTTGTATTTGACTTTTTGTCCTCCTGTCTTCCATGAAATCAACTTTTTTCTAAAAACTGTAAGGAATAGGGACTTATGTTGACAGTAGTTGAGGTGTAACTAAGACATCTCCCATCAAATAATGATTATTCATAAAGCCAATTTAATTTGTAAGTTTTGTCATCTTTTAAAAGAAAAGGAATTGTCTTTTTTTAATCTTTAAAAAGTCTTTCGACGTTGAAAATTCCAAATGTAGATTTCGTTTCAAAATACTTCGTCTTTATTTCTCTATCTTTTATCTACTTAATCTCCTATCAATTTTTCGATATAATTTTTGATCTCTTCACGAATTCTTTCTAACACTATTGTCACTTGTAATTTTTGTTTTTAAATTTCACTAAATTTGTCTACCTATTTTACTTACTATTGTCAAAACCATTAAATTAAATGCGAAATTTGCTGTTCGGCATCACATATCTCTTTATCATTACTTGACAGTACTTTCGAGCTAAACAGTAGCCACTCTTTACAGTTGTTTTTTTTCCTTTTTTTTTAATCTAGCTTATCTAAGTCAAAGTTTTTGTTCACATTTGTTTTATTTATTTTTTAAAATTCAAAACTTGTTGAAATTTTTGTTGATTTAAGTATGGCTTCAAAAATAGAAAAAAAAAAGAAAAAGAAAGAAAATATTCGTTTTAAAGGAACTAAAAAATAAATGGACATGTAAAGAGGATAGGCCAGAAGAAATGGGTAGTCGGCTTTCGATTTTCTCTTTCTCTATTTAGTGATTCACAATTCTAATTGCATTATATTACCCATCTGGTTTCTGTTATCCTTTATGCTTTGTATTTTTTCGTTATTCTGGTTAAGAAACATTGTTATGCCTCATGAAATTATATTTTCATCGAATAAATTTCATATTACGTAAGTCTATTGCTTATTGCAACAATTTATGTTTGCGAACGATTTTGTGAAGAAGATTTTTTTTTTTTTTGATTATTTCTCAAGTTTTGATAAGCTTACAACCAAATATCTACCAAGATAGCAGTTCAGTGGACTTATTTAAATTTCTCCGAAAACAGTACTGAAATTTCATAGAATTTAAAAAAAGTGGAAATGGTCATCCCACCAATTAATTTTCAGATTTTGGTAAAATTACAATCAAGTATCTATCGAGAGAGCAAATAGTCAAGATATCTCTGGTCTATTTCAATGATCTTATTTAAATTTGCTAAGAATAGTAATGAAAATTTACTGAAATCTACCACACAATACATATGTGTGTCCATTTTATTGTTATATTATGCCAAATGTATAAAATAAATTTAAATGTAACCTGAGTGAATAGTTTTACCCTGATATCATTAATATATTTCCTTTAACGGTTTCATTTTTTTTTTTTTTTTTGTGACATAAATTTTTGTTATGGTGCTGATATGGATGCGATGAGTGGCCATAGCGACCGCTTTATATATTATCAAAACTTATAATCATTTTATTTATCTTATCAAAATTTCAACAAATTCAATTTCACAATTATGATACATTGAATTGATAAATTAATTTTTCAATGTTTATTTATTGCATTAAACACTTTATGGAATTTATTGCTGAAAATATTTTTTTTTCTTTTTGCAATTCTATGAAATCATACATACTATGTCATAATTTCTCCTCCTTTTTTTCTCCTTTTTTTTTTCAAAATGCTTTAAATCTTTTTTATTTTCTTTCATTCCAGAAAATACTTTTAAATTGCGTAAATTTGAAAAAAGTTAAATTATTCAAATTAAAAAAATTTTCTTTCATATCAAAACTTTCATCACTTTTTCCACTTAATTTCACGGTTAAATTTCATCACATTTGCATTCAATTTAATATGTGCGTCATACAATAAGTAATGAAGAATTATTCTCAGAGAGGTGTATGTGTGTGAATTAATTAAGTTTAAATCTGAGTTACGAATGATAACTAAAAGCCGTAACTATGGTGCATAATCGGTTAACAAGCATTCCATAATAATAATTGTCGGTTGATGGAAAATTTTCCGGGTAATGAATTCATTTAACAATGTGTTAGAGATATTAAAAGGGTTACATTTATAATAATTAATAAATAATCGCTATCTAAATGACAATGTATGAATAACAATTTGTTAAATTTTCCGTCTTTTTTTTTACAGCAAACTTTATTTTCATATTTTCAAATTAATGTTTAAATTTCGAAATATTTTAATTAATTTTCATTCGTATTTATTTAATTTTTACTTATATTTGAGTAGAATTTAACCATTCTTTTCTATTTTTCTCCTACTTGCAATTAGTTTCATATTTCATTAGCTTTCCCACATTATCGATAGTCAATTTTATATTTGAAATATAATAAAGTTAAATAATCAATGAATGATCGATTCATTATAAGTGTAGACGCAAATTCAATTTAATCTTTCAAATTTAAGTAAGAAAAAGCTTCTATAATTATATATTGAAAAAAAAAAAAAAAACTAATATTAAATATTAATACATACTGTATTGATAAATAAAAAAAGTGCTATAGCATAAATGCCTTGCTTATTTTTCAAACACAAAATAAAATTATCAGATTAAAAAAAAAATAAATATTTTTTAAATAAAAAATAAAGCTAAATTATCGGTTGGAAGTTGTTAAATAACGAAAGTAAATATGAATATGGAAAAAATTTAATTCAGTTCAGTTTTTTTTTTTTTTTTTATAACAATTATAATTGGATTTGAACAAAATTTTGCAATGCAATAAAAATCGAAAAAGAAAATGACGATTATTATGATAAAAAACAAAAGAACGAGCAAGTGAAAAGAAAATTAATGATAAGCAAATAATTACCAAAGTAAAGGAAAAAATAATATCTGAAGAGAGAGGGAGAGAGAGAGATTTATCAGTAATTTAACGAATTCTCAACTGTACAAGAACTGTAATAAAAAAAAATGCTTGAGAGGTGTGCTATCCTCGGGAAAATTTATTTCGAGAGCAGTACAGGAATATAGCAAAACGATAAAAAAAAATTTTAATATTTGTAAGAATCAATTTTATGTTAAAGATTAAGCAATAAAACCTTGAAAGTTAGGGAATACTTAGGACAGTGTAAATAATTAATGATATTATTAATAATAATAATAATAATAGTGACATTAATAATAATAATAATAATAATAATAATAATAATAATAATAATAATAATAATAATAATAATAATAATAATAATAATAATAATAATAATAATAATAATAATAATAATAATAATAATAATAATAATAATAATAATAATAATAATAATAATAATAATAATAATAATAATAATAAACCATGATAGTATGTTTGTAACATATCGATTGAACCATTTGTTTAAAATTGTGTTAAGTAAACATCTTTCTTCATTTAAATTTTAGCAATTTCTCATTTTCCATTCCTCAAAATATTGTCATTTAGTAGAATTCGGACAACGGAGAAAGAAAAAATTCACTTTTGAGTGATATTTTTCAATCCTTTATAGTCTGATGTTCGTTTAAATTTGATATTATTCCTTTTTTCTCATTTTGGAAATAAAATTTTTTTGAAAAAATTATCTTTTTATTTTATGATTGAAAAAACATTGCATCGTGGGAAAAAAAAATCATATATAACTTAAGTAAATAATTTTGATATTAGTTTTTCATTTTGTTATTTATTATTTTAAATTATTATTTAAACAATAAAATTAATATTTGTTTTTTATTTAAAGACTTTTTGTGTTTTATATTTCTTTTTCTTTTCTCATCAGTTATGCAAATTTTGAAACTATTTAGCAAGAGCTTTTATATGAAGGAAAATTATGAAGCAAATAGCTGTTAGCTGCAAATTTGGACAGGAAATGTTTAGATGAAAGAATCGGAAACTAAGGCCACACAAATCGGAAGCCAAGTCCACATAAATTGGAAGTCAAGGCTACACACTAGCATTAACTTATCTGAAAAATATAAAAGTCTCAGATATTTATTTACATACAAACTTATTCGAAATGATATTATTACTCTTACTCATTACTATTTATTCAGTTATGAAATAATTATTTTTTTCATTTTTTTCTTTTGGTAGATTAAATTTCAATGCTTCTATTTCGGTACTTTCATATTTCTGTTTCTTTTTAATTTTTAATCTTTTTTTTTTGCATGAAACAATTTTTCTAATATCACTTTTTTTTATTTTTTAAATTGTAAACTAAGAATATTTTTTAAGAATAACTTCTATTTTTGATGTTCCGTTTGAAAAATTTCTTTTTAAATGGGAAAATTTTTCTATCAATCACATTAAACATTAAAATAGGAAAAAGAAGATTTAAGAAAATTTAGTTTTTTTTTTTTTTTGTTTATCAGACATGAATAAATAAATTTGAAATTTAGAAAAGAGAAAAAAAAAACGAAAAGATTTCTTCCGATAAATGCAAATGTAATTATAAAAATCAATGATAAATGATCTTTGCTGAAAATTTATCATAGATAACTCATCTGAAATTATTCAGTAAACTTTCATCAACTACTTTGTCGTTTTTTTCCTATCAAATTTGAAAATCACAAGTTGTTATTTAAATATATCTGAATAAAGGTTTTTAATTAAGCATTAAAAAGATTATTTGTATATTTCAAGTCGTCTATGAATGTCTGAAATGTAAAGTAAATTTTATTTAATTTTAATTTTTAACTATTATCTATTTTACTTTTCTCCTTTTTTTTTTTAAACTAAAATATTGACTAAAATATGGATGTATGATTTTAATCAGATATGTTTCATTTTAGGAAAATTTGATTAAATGAGCCATTGCAATATATAAATTATTTACATTTTACAATTATTTTTCA